CCCAGCCCACTATCAAGAGAGCAGGGAACAGTTTCTGGTTTGGATCTGGTGGTCCCGTGTCTAGAGAAAGAGACAAACAATGAGGAGGAACGATGAAAAGAACTATTATCTATGTCTGCAGGTTTCATTAGCTTACCTCTATTGCACACTGCCTTTCTATTTCCCTGAGTCCTCTTGCCATGATGCTGCCGGTGCTGTGAGGATTTGGCATCTGGGTAGGCAGGCTGGAAAAACACTGGTGGAGAACAATGTAAATCCATCTTGTAATCATGAAATGCAAACAAACATGGGCATATGACTAACTGGAAGTGGATATGTTGGATCATTTTGGATGGTTGGCTCAAAGTCTGTTCTCTGTGGATCCTTGGTGGCAGCTGTGCAGCACCCTGAGCAGCCTGGCCTTGGTCTCAGTGGGACTGCCTCTACAGCTGAGACCGCCAGAAGTGTCCCAGGAGAAGGACGGTCAAACTCATATACTGTACATATATATAGGATTTAAAAGGATGGAATATAGGGTCATAATATGGTACATGTTTATCCATTACATATCATACTTCAAATATGTATTGTGCTTATGTAACTTTTCTGGAGGAGGGTATGCTAACAGCTTGTTTCCATGGAGACGTTATTGCTTTGCCTTGAATTATCCATAGTATGGCATTCATTTTTTGATCAAGAAAGTCCCATGGAGATTCAAAGATGTCTGTTTGCAAGGTAGTCCTGGATTAAACATATCTGTCTCCATGGAAACAGTGATAGTGTCATCACCAGGCAAACATACAGGTCAGAGCTGTGGAGAGGACACCCAACTCATAGTAAGATTTTTTCACAGAACAATAAAACACATGTAATTGAATAACAGGTACGTTCAATGCAATATTGTGGAGCATTCTAGGCAACGTAATATCATTGTCATGGAAACAAGCATACTGGCATACCCCCCTGCAGAAAAGTTACATGCATCTTTAAGCAGAAAGCTCTTGATGTTACTACTGCTCTTTCACTGATTTAAGTCTGTTGTGAGAAAGTGATAAAGATGAATTATGTGGCTGTATGTCTAACAAAAGTTTTGAATGGGTCCGTGCATCAGGGCAGAGACAGCAGCTCCTCTCTCTAGTGAAGGTGATGTGCTGGGGGTGGGGAGGTGGGGGGATGAGGGATACTGAGGGCTTTCTTCTCTGGCCCTGTACTCACTATGGTTACAGGCTGCAGTTGTAGCTTTCACCTTTTAATGTCCATTGTCCACCATTAGTTCTTTCATTTTACAGATGTTGAGTTAAAGGATTTGTTCATATTTAATCCTACACCTGCTTTTAAAATGTATATGCACATTTCTGCAACATCTAGGACAATTTACTAAAATGTGAAACAGGATATCCATATCAGCTGTTTTGTTATGATCTTCATATGACACAGTTGTACTGTGAGTGTGAGGTATACAGGAGAAACAAGACAGGAGACAGTGGTGTGCCCTGTACAGAACCAGACTCTCACACATACAGTATCAGTCAAAAGTTGGGACACACCATTTCATTTAATGTTTTCTTTTCTTTATTTTTACTACTTTCTATATTTTAGATACTTATGGAAGATATCAAATGTACGTAGCAAGATATATGGAATTATGTTGCAAAAAAAAGTTAAATAACTAAATATTTTTTTTACAAAGCAAAGGGTGACTGCTTTAAGGGTTTGAATGTAAAAAAAAATATATGAAAAATAGTAAAGTTATGTGAGAAACATCTCCAGATTCACTTCAGATGTATATACCTCCGCAGGCTGTTATGTTTGTTCTCAGTTTTGTGTGACTTATTTTTTATTTATTTATTTTAACTTTTATACACCAAAAATCACTGAGCACTATTGATCCCGTACCATTTGAGTTGTAAACAGTTTTTGGCTCAATAAAAATGTTATGACTAAAAAAAAGTATAGATATTTACTTTATTTCCTTTGCTCCATAATTCCTGATCTCTTAAATAATATATTTGATGTCTCTGAATGTATCTAAAATATAGAAAGTAGCAAAAAAAAAATAAGGGGAAAAAACATTGAACAAGTTGGTGTTTTCAACAGGTGTAAAACCACTTCCATCAATTTTGGTTTTCAGTAGAAGAAGGGGCTGGTAAAATGACCAGAGAAAATCCTCATGCTTTTGCCCATGTCCAGTTGAGAGGGGGAGGTACAGAATGATGTACTTGTTTTTTTTAGCAGCATAACAAACCTGTCAGAATGCATGAGTAAAAATGTCAGCTTGAAAGGATACACACAGTTATACCAGTGCACAAAATGATGATGGTTAACTTATTCTTTTGGCCAAAAAAACACAGTTGAGAGGAAAATAGAAAAGAATGCTTTGTTGGAAGAAGAGCGGAGGAAAGAGATATCAGGTGGTCTGAAAAGTGGACTCAGAGCCGAGTGAAGGAGGAGAGGAGAGAGTGCACTTGTAGAGTAATTGGATGAGCCCTTGTTAGAGACAGGCCTGGTCTGGAGATGACAGCTCACCCACCCTCCGCTTCAGCACCTCTCATCATGAATAGGTCTTAATGTTGTTCACCCTGATAATTGTGCGTCCTTACAAGCAGCCTCGCACTTCCAGGAATAGTACAGTTCACTCTGAGGGTGAAGACTCACATTATTTTAATAATTACACTAAATTAGACTTATTTGTCCTGGACTAGCAATAACATAGATGTTTCTCTTGCAGTTGTGTGTGTTTGTCAATGCAAACAAATTCGGAAATGAAATATGTTTAAATATTTGTTACATACAGTAAAGCAAAATAATACAACAACACATAAGCACATATGTCAGTTGTTTGTGTACTGAGTCATATAGATTTAATGGCCACATATTATGAAACATTTATCCTGATAAGCCATGTTATCATGTTATAAATAATCAAAGACACACCCAAATTAACCCTTATTAGTCTATCTACATCTCCAAAGCTCAAAATCCTCTGTTTTATCTAGTGATGTCATGAAGCAGTAGTTTTCATGTTAGCAGATACCTTTTACCTTTAGTTCAGCAGAGACTGGCAGTTTCAGGGTTGAATTTATCCAAAGGATTCTAGTGAAGGTGTGTGGAGGTTAAAAACAAAATGGAGCACTTCTTGTGTTGCCACATGAAATCACAATGTGGAACAGGGTGTTTTTTTCAGTTTGAGTGAAAAACTATAACATAGATCAGAAAATACTGTAACATGGTTTGTTTAAATTTCAACAAATGTACTTCTTTTATTGATGTTCTGATTTGTTGATGTGACATGCCTTTATGATTTTGTGTGTCATCGCTAATTTTAATCCTGGTAGGTAAATGCTGTCCTTATATACTAGACTGTTCAGAATCTTGTCTGTTAAGGTTAAAGTCCCTGTGCAGAGGCTTATCTTGTGCTTGAGTGCTCCTTTTAATCCATGCTTAAGTATTCACTGAGCATGTTATGTGCCATGCTTTTCATAGACCGACTAATCAATGCTCAACTCTCACTGCATTCCTATCTACAAGTGCTTCATCCTCTTGGGATGTTCAGAGAACTACCCAGATATTCTTGATCTTCAAATGGACAACCATTATGTTGCTTATTTCTCTTCATCATACAATACAGGATTGGGGAAAAGAAACAACTGTTTAATGTATAATTACATTTACTGATTGCAACCATAGAAGAGATTAGAAAAGTCCATGTCACATACAGAACTACTTACTTTCTGTCTTTTAACTTTCACTGTTTTCTAGATCCATTGAAAGAGTGCCTAAAATCACTCATGGCAGCCTCACTACCATGAGTGATGAGTGATGAGTGAATCTTTTGAATCTTTTTTGTAATTTAAAAAAGCAATCATGGACAAAAAACACTTTATCTGAAACTAGAAATATAACATTGAGTTTCAGATGAAATAGATGAATAGTAATTTTGTAATTTTGACTAAAATTATTGTTTTTTTGATCCACAAGTGATACTGAACAATGCCTTCTCTGCTGCCCCTCATATCAGCCCTCTTGTAGACAGACGCAGAGAGACTTGAAATTGTCTTGTGTGATGCTTTCGCAGAACTCCCTGTTGTGACATTTTTAAGTTGAGGCCTGTGTTGAGAATGAGGATTTAATGAAGCCATGGGAGCTGATGTTTCTGCAGAATATTCCACTGCCTTAATATCGTGTCTTATATGAAAATGACCACCATTTGCTCTGTCGTATAAACAGCATCTTGACAGCATGGTAATATATATCTCGAGAGGGGTGGGGTATTATTGCATTTTCATGAATAATCTAAAGCAGCATTTGGCAGGGACTCACATTTTAAAGCACCACAACATCATCATAGACAAACGCACCTGGAAATGTGTCATAAATCCACCATAGTGTCTTTTCAACATCATTATCCCAGATATCAAAGACACAAGTATTGCCAGACCGTATTATATTACAGCTATGTATATGCAGTCTGTTCTACCTAAAACCCCGGATGAGCGTATCACACTGTAATTGAAGAATATCACATGAAAAAAGTATGATTACAAACTGTGCAAACTCCAACAAATATCCATTTAACACAAACATCAGAGAGAAAATCAATCACATTTATATAGCACATTTTAAAAACAATCATGGCTGACCAAACATCTTCACAAGTTTAGTTTAGTGTAAACTGTACTAATAAAATAAAATAAATAAAAATAAAAATACAACAAAGCCATGCATTAATGTTCAAACATATGTGGTATCTCCTCAAACTGTAATAAAAGTGCATCTTTAGTGAGGAGCTTGACTATGGAGAAACAGACTTTCCACAGTTTGGGAGCTGAGAGAGTGCTTTGTCCTCTCTGCCTGAGGCAATACAGAACCTCCAGCAATAAAAAAAAAAAAACTTTGGTACAGTACTGTGCAACTGTCTACATACATTTGATTTAGCTCTACCTACTCTAGACGCCTGTTACCACAGAGGTTGCTGTGCAATGCTACCATCTGGTGGTTAAAAACAGAAGCTACATGTCTTTTTAAAATTTGTCAGAGGCTTTGGACATTAAATACTTCTTGGTGTTCTTCTCTGGTCTCAGTAAAATGATGTAACATTTGGGGGCAAAGATACACCCCAGCAGTCCATAGCTAGAGGCCAGTATTGCAAATACCTCTGTGACTGTGGCATACTTTCCAGGAGAGCTGATGTAGGCGGGCACAAAGGCCACCCACACAGCACAGAAGATGAGCATACTGAAAGTGATGAGACGGGCCTCATTGAAGTTTCCAGGGAGTTTTCGTGCCAGAAAAGCTAAGAGCAGGCAGATGCAGGCTAATAGGCCGATGTACCCCAGGACCAGAGAGAAGCCCACAGCAGAGCCCTCTTCACACAGGAGGATCACAATGGCACTCTCACGTGGCATCAGTCTGCGGGGGCTTGGGGGAGCCACCACCAGCCACACAGTACAAATGATCACCTGTAATAATAATAATAATAATAATAATAATACTACTACTACTAATATATAATAATAATAATAATAATAATAATAATACAGTAAGAGGTTATTAAATACAGTTACATATAAAAACAATAAGGTAATTAGATGCAGATAACCTAATAGACCTGAACTGAAGTAGAACCAAATTTAGCAGAAAAAGACAAACAAATAAAAAGCAACAATGTAACAATTTTGAATGTACTCAATAGTTTTCTTTCCTTGGAGTTTGCCTCCAAGGAGATGTTATTGACCAGATGTTGAACTTATTTCTCCATGGAAACAAGCAGATGGCAGACCCTCCACCAAAAAGTGACACAATCAATAGAAAATAATAATGTTTTTTTTCTTACTTGGGCCAGAGTACAAGAAGCAATGATTGCCTTCTGTTTTGCCTGACCAAACCATTTGATCACGTTGCTGCCCGGAAGTGTGGCCTTGAATGCCATCAGCACTACTATGGTCTTGCCCAAGATGCAGGAGATACAAAGGACAAAGGTGATGCCGAACGCAGTGTGGCGCAGCATACAGGACCACTGAGTCGGCTTTCCAATGAAGGTGAGAGAGCACAGGAAGCACAGGGTCAGGGAGAGCAGCAGCAAGAAGCTCAAATCAGAGTTATTGGCTTTAACTATCGGCGTGTTTCTGTTCCAGGAGAATATTAAGACCACAATGCAGGTGCACAGTGAACCAAAGAGCGAAATGGCTGTTAATGTGATGCCCATGGTGTCACTAAAGGATAGAAACTCCACTTGTTTAGGAATGCAGTCTGTTCTCTCATCATTGGACCAGAATTCGGGCAGGCAACGGACGCACTCTATGGCATCTGGGGAGCAGAGGAGGTGAAAGTGGTTGTGACGTAAAGGGCACAGAAAGAGCGTACTGAGATCATATTGTATAATGGCTGCGCTGGCTGTTCTCACCAGTCTGATTGCTAATCTCCCCAGCTGTACAAACCACACAATCATGGCAGCAGATAGGGAAGTTGAGTTTGATTGCCTTGCGGGTGCCGGGAGGACAAATGCTGCTGCATACTGACAAGGGCACCTCAGGAAAAAGGAAAAGATGGAGCTCTACTCTGGTCATACATCGGAAATAATTCAATTTTGTACTTAAATGTCCTATATTATGCATAAGTGTGAGCTTTAAGACATGTTAAAACATATCAGGAGTTGTGTTTTGTTTCATTCATGCATGTTTGAGTAACCCTGCAGTATTAAAGTGTCTACATCAAGTGCCACCTTCTGATGTTATGTGGTAATAGTTTTCAGATTGATAGCTACTCTTTCACCTTTAGTTCAGTAGAGATTCGAGGGCTGAAATCACCCAAATGTACTAATGAAGATGTATGGAGTTTAAAAACACAGTGATGCACTTCCTGACATCATAAGGTAGAAAAGAGTGCCTTCTGTTTGAGAGAAGAACTCAGTCTAAATATGCAGGATATGTGTGTTAAACATGTGTGAATGAAATAAAACACAACTCTGGGTATGTTTGTGATGAGGAAACAACATTCTACCATAGATCACAAAATGGTGTAATATGAGCATTTAAGTAAAACATGGATCCTCACATGGGTTTGGTTTCCATTCCAAACAATACTGCCATGCTTAATCTGAAGTTGTCCAGTGATTGTGGTCTCATCAAACTTTCCTATAGTGACATAATCCATTTCTTCATCGGAATTGAGCTGCCAGTTCACCAAGTCGTACATTGCTGCAGGGTCCCCATTTTCATCAAACTTGATTTCATCTCCAAATCTTGTAATGTAGTTTGTTTGTTTTAAGTAATGAAGAAGCTATAAGAAAACAATAAAAATGTTCATTTAAAAATACACCAAAACATGGATAGTTAACTCATAGTTACCTGCCATTTTTCAATCTTGTTAATATCTGGACATGTGTTTTGATCAAATGGTCCATTACCCTTCTCACAGTCTCGCAAAGCCTTTAGTGCATTAGCAATTGCATAGACAGCTTTGTAAACATTGTAAGAAATTCTCAATTGCGACACATCTGAGTAAATATTTTTAACACTTTTTAAATCCTCGGTTCCAGTACAAGGAGGTTTTCTTTCTGTTATATTTTCTTGGCCTTTATCTCCAAAATGACACTGAAATACCTCTTCCCAAAATGGATTAAGAAATGGATTTGTGCTGGAGTCAGATTTGGATGGGTCGAGCTGAAGTAGAAAGTTTTGCAGTTCTGGTATCTCTGCTCTTCTTATCGCAAATCCCATTGAACCTTGAAGGATTTGGTGATATTTTTTAGGAGTGGACAAGACAGCGGCTGTGCTCCATGCTTCACTAGCCAGCCATTGTATTCCAGTAAGGCCTTCCCTGTATTGTGAAGAACACCATGTTTTAAATTTAAAGTGTGAAATTCCAAAACGGGAGGCAAAATTTAGTACCTACCTGAGTGCGCCATCAAATAAAGCTGCTGCATCTTGTTCAACAGCAAATACCAGAATTACTTTGGCCCTTGATGAGCGAATATTCGAAATTATATCAGAAATTTTCTCATCTGTGTGGATTTTAGGAATGATCTCATGTAGGGCAATACATGCTCCTAACTTATGAACCTATAAGCACAGCTGGATTTAGCAATATAAGAGTAGCGGCTAAATGATCTTACTACAATAATACTACAGTTTGTCAAATACCTCTTCGGCAAAAATGTTAGCCCCACCACGACCATAGGCGTCATCACCCGCTATAAGACCCACCCAGGTCCAGCCAAAATACTTCACCAACTGTGCCAATGCATCGACCTTGAGAGAAATACATTATTATTATTATTACATTGCAAAGTGCTTCATATCAAGAAACCATTAACTCAAATAACACAAATAACAAATGCAAACAATGGAGACAAGACAGGTGTAGTGTATAGTCAAGGGGACCAATGCCAAACTTGAACCACCAATCATTAGTTATTAAGATTTTTGGCACATTACCTGGAAAAAATCACTGGGCATTGTTCTCAAAAAACCCGGAAATTCCTTTTTGTCACTGAGGCAGGCACAGCTTGAAAAATAGCTCACCTGAAATAGACATCATTACACTAATTAGCTCTGTATTAAATTACCATACACCTCTTTTGCTTTGACCACTAATGTGCTTTAATTATTACTTACCAGGGATGAAAAATATACCTTATATAATTTATACAGCTGCTATTCAGAAATTACCTGGAATTACTGTGAAATTCTTTACCTGTGGCACAGAGAAAACACCCAGGAAGCGGGCCACGACCAGAGACTGGGTGGATCCTCCATCTCCAATCACCACAGGCACAGTCCCCTGACAACCTTTGACCTCCGCTGAACCATGGGCCTCTTCTTTACTGCCCATTAGCTCCAGGGCAGCTTTCAGTGCTTGGTGAGGGGTGCTGCACGAATCATAAATCTTGTATCCCAATGTAATGTTTGGGAGGAGGGTTCCATGTCGGTTAATCTCCTCAATGGCAAAAATCATTGTCTGCATCCAACGAAATGTTCGGAAATTAAACCTGAAAAAGGATGACATATTTTATTACAAACCTTGATTAAAGCAGAAGTGTAAAATAGTCCAAAATAACTTACCTTGTGCATTGTGTTGGCACTGGGGCAGACTGAAATGAGAGGTTTGGCTCCAGAACCATATCGTGTAAAGAGAACAGTCCTCCCAGAACTATGTCCCCTTCTCTGGACAACACTGGCAGTAACATAGAACCAGGGATTATTTTACAAACACCTGATTCTTGCTGGAGGGAACTGTGAAGGAGAACACCCACAACAAAGGCCACAAGCTTTGTAGCTGTTGATATGTTTTCAGAGGCCATTTGAAATTCATCTAAAACTGGTCAGCAGCAACAGCCCGTGTCCACACTGTGTAATGTGGAGTATGTGAGGTGCTCAGGAGTATCTTATATACACTCGAACATGTTGGAGCTGTCACTTTGAACTTGTTCCCCTTGACTTGATCAGTGGAAAATGCTGCCTGTATCACACTTGTTACAACAATAACATGGATGAGTGGAATGAACACATGATCTAAATAGGAAAAAGCAGAGATGAGGTTGTTTCTCTGCACCATGCATGACTTGGCCTGATGGATTATTAAGTCATGTGAGCAGACAGAAGCCATCTACAATCTTCAGCACAAACTGCCAAGTGTATTTGATGTGCTCTGCTGCATTTCACATTTTTATGCTACACCAACTTCAGTAAGACTGGTTTTAGTAATAAGTGTAAGACTTTAGAAAGACCAGTTTTAATTGAATGAAGGCATACTATGACCATAGTCATAGTATGCTATAGTATACTATGGTCATGAGCTCTGGGTAATGACTGAAAGGATGAGATCGCGGATACAAGCGCTCGAAATGAGTTTCCTCCGCAGGGTGGGCGCTCCCTTAGAGATAGGGTGAGGAGCTCAGTCACACGGGAGGAGCTCGGAGTAGAGCCGCTGCTCCTCCACGTCGAGAGGAGCCAGTTGAGGTGGCTCGGGCATCTGTTCCGGATGCCTCCTGGACGCCTTCCTCTGGAGGTGTTTCGGGCATGTCCCACCGGGAGGAGGCCCCGGGGAAGACCCAAGACACGCTGGAGGGACTATGTCTCTCGGCTGGCCTGGGAACGCCTTGGGGTCCCCCCGGAAGAGCTGGAGGACGTGTCTGGGGTGAGGGAAGTCTGGGAGTCCCTGCTTAGACTGCTGCCCCCGCGACCCGGCCCCAGATAAGCGGAAGAAAATGGATGGATGGATGGAAGGCTGACAAAACAAGGATGATAGAATAAACATTTTTGAAGGACAGTAACAACAATCATTCTTTTAGATCAGGAGAGACATTTTCATCAAGACTTGGCAAAACTCCTACTGACTATGATTTAATATGACTTTGAAAGCCAATGTCTCTTCAGCTATATATTGGGTAATTTGAAGCTGATGAAGACCAAAAACAGTTTTGTTTAATTTTTATATGTTTTTGCATATTTTCTAAGACTCATACTATGTCTTATACTATAGAGGGGGGTAACAGGGTCCAGGTTTACAGAGGCTACAGGAGTGCAATCACTTATTCTCAGGTCATAGTTTTGAACATAATCAAGAGCAGTTCAGAAGTGACCAGCATCCTGAGGTAATAGAGGTCCAAAGCAGAGCAGGTTAGAGCACCCCGTACTGAAGCCACAAACAACAAGCCATGCAGTCTATAAAACTGCAGCTTTCATGAAAGAAAATAAAAACACCATAATCTCATTCTCATTGTTTAGACCCAGGACCTGTCAGGTAATATGTGTGTTATGCTACAGTTCTAGCAACTTTAATATTAAACTTTTTTTTTTTTTTTAACCTGTGTTCTTTCTAAATGATCCACACATTGAGCCCACTTGAATTTTATAATACTACTACTACTACTACTACTACTACTACTACTACTACTACTACTACTACTACTACTAATAATAATAATAATTATTATTATTATTATTATTATCAATTCATTAATAAAATTATTATGGATGTCCACTGAGAGTTGCGAATATAGTCAATAGTCATAAAGTCAGTCACTTTTGTTTTCTGAACTGTTTTTACTGAGAGAGTTATTACTCATGGAAAGAGTTGTGCTGCTCACTTGGGAGGAAGGGGCTGTTTGTTTATCCCCAAAGAGAAGTTGCAACATTGTCTTTCCTTAACCCTGTTGACAGAGACGTCCCAGGTGTGTGTGACAGGAGCAGAGGCCTGAGCGGGCAAGCAACAACAAGAGTCTCCAACTAGACACCTGACACCTGGGATCAGCAGCTCAGCCCTGCACCAGCTGTGGCTGGAAATCACTTTGGTCGTATTAATTAACAACATGACAACTGTTGCAATACAATACAAAGTTTGAACTTTTCTATTCAATAACATTACTTGACTGAATAAAGTTTTGAACTCAGGAAGTATTTTCTGTCTCACCATTGTAGATGAAAAGAATAGTAGGTTATAAAAAAAAATATATTTTCATTTTACCTTAGCTGGCAGTAAAAAGATTTACTATACCACAAGCACATGTTTGTGTTAATGCAACTGTAATAATAATAATAATAATAATAATAATAATAATAATAATAATAATAATAATAATAATAATAATAATAATGAAAAAACTGATTCCATATATGAACTGAAGTCAAAAATCTGAGGATTTAATTTTCATCACTAGTACAGATTTTAGAGTGAACCAGACATGATTGTGAATATGTGTGAAATATGATCTGTAATTAAAATGCATGGAGGCCCAAATCTTAACTTTTATGAGAACAGAAAGACAAGAAAAAGAGATACAGTATTTGAATTTGTGCTGCCACCATCTGTGTAAAAAAGGAAGTACATTAATGCTCACAGTTTCAGACTTCACCTTAAACCTGGGTTGGAGCAGTCAGTTATTTTAAATCAATGACCCTCTTTCTCCTGATGTATTTTTTCCTAACAGTTCTTTTGGGGACAAATATTCAATGAAAAAAGTAAGTCAGACAGAACAAAAAGCTATGTTACAGTTTAAAGTGCAACTGGTGCCGTGTCAATAGACCATCTATCTCAGAGTTATTTGCAGAGCTAGGCCCCCACAACAGAAAAGATGTGACAAACAACAATAATAAGAATGCCTTACACTTGAAATGCACTTTACAGGCCTCAAAGTGCTAAACCATTGTCATTATTCATTCACACTCCTGGGACAGACTGACAGAAGTGAAGCTGCTAATCTGTGCCACACACAGTTTCATAATAGGCAATGTGGGTGAAGTGTCTTGCCTAAAGACACAATTACCGAACTTGGTCCAAGTGGGAGACCACACACAGAAGATTTACAATAAAACACTGGTATTCTCATGTCCACAGGTTAGGCTTAAATCCATTGTTTGATTGTAGAGATCTTTTATTATGTTTGTGGATACTTATGCTCCAGTGCTGCACATTAGTTAAATACATCATAGGTTAGTAAAGGCATGATGCATTTTCATTTCATTTGACTATTTAGGTAAAGGACCCTACATGGAAAAGAGACAGGTTGTCTGTGGGGGCAATCCTTAAATAAATGCACAAAAACAATAATCAATAAATAAGTAAATTATCTGTTTTTAACAAATAATTATAACTTTAAACACTTATATGTATACCCACACACTTTTGAACATTTGATATTTCAGTCCATGAATATTTAGTTATTAGATAAATTATATTCTGTTTATTTACACATTTTAATTCCACATATTCTACTGTAATCCTTAGCACTATAAATTATAACAAATTAAACTGAATTTTAATACAGTGTTAATGTTGGTGTTGACGCTACGTGAAAAGTTTCTTAGTTTCTTTCTGATCAAAAATGATGCAAGATGTGTGAGTGGTAAACACTGTGTATGGATGAGGGACACACACTAGAGGGAGTTGGAGTGAGTTGGTTGGAGACAGTTGGAGGTGCTATTTTCGAGTCCTGAGGCACAGCAAACATGCTCCTGCTCAACCCACAAGCCCATGAGAAAAGACAACTGCTTCATAAACCAACCACATCCTGCCCCAGTAACACAAACAGTGATTCTTCATAATTACAGTGTGCTTTCAGAAGGCCTTCAGAGGGCCTTCAGCGGTTCATAAACAGCCCTTTAGCTACAAATAACAAAAACATCAAATTAAAAGTCTCACAGTTCACTGCACACACTAATCAGTTGTTTGGGTATTGCAGCACTTTGTTTAGATGAGCTGTCAAAAGTTGAGTTTTAATTCTTAGATTACTGGCATTCAAGATGCAGTCAATCACAAGTGAAAGTTGATGCCCATTAGTCAAAATGGAAAAGTAATAGGCTTTAATTTGACAGTGATGTCATTTGCTTTGATTAATTGTGTTATCACATAAAATTGGAATATGCACAATGCTGTGATCACCTCTATAAGACAAATAAGTAAACAATGGATAAAGAATATTAACTTTCTGTCATGTGAACCTGGAATCTTATAGGACTGGTTAGAGCACACGTCCATCATACCAGAGGTCAGAGGATCGATTTCCACATAGACCAATGCCATTGTGTCTTTAAGCGAGACAGTGAGGTGGTTGGAAAGGCCCATACTGCAGATTAGCAGCCTTGCTTCTGTCAGTGTTCAGCTGTGGCTATAACTACACCACGACTAGGAGTGGTGTGAATGAACAATACAATGTAAAAAAAAAAAAAAAAAAAAAAAAAAAAGGAACTATAAAATATGCCACAAATTCATATTTTTTAAAAATCATTATATGTATTCAGAAAAAAAATTTAAAAATCATTTGTATTACAGTAGGGCTAATGTGAGGCTTCTTGTCCCAGAAACCGAAATATCTGTTAACAGGCCTGTAATCAAAATCTGAACTGAGAAAAAGTTTGCTTGAAAAGTTAAAACACTTTGGATTGGTTAGTTGTTGTGACACATAAAATCCTGCGTCACAAAACATTATAAAAGTCATGACGAGTAAATGATTTCATACAAACCATGTCACCTGCATTGGCAGTGTTAGTGTTTAGCTTGGTGTTGGGCAGGGTGCAGGGACAGGAACATGTCTGTAAGATCATGGGCAGTCCAGAGTTCCCTCTTCTGTCCAAACGTGGAGATGTCATTATCGGAGGTGCTTTTTCCATACACAGCCAAGTGTCTCAGCATCCACCT